TCTACAAGGACTACCTCAAGATGGTACTCGGAGATGACTTCACGGATGTCATGGGATATGCTGATGCAACGGCCGAGAAATGTGGAGACGTGGTCGAAATGTGGCTTGGAATGTTAGATTTGGCCAACATGACGAAGTCCCAGATCACATTCATGGAGACAAAGGCCGATCCAGGTGAGCTTCTCGCAGGCCTGGAGGCATCTATCAACATCTTCCATGGGACGACAAGATCTACCACAACTCCGAACACGAAGAGAGGTGGATCGAGGATCACCGAACCTACCAACTATGAGGAGACATTGGTGAACCAAATCCTGCGTGACATCCCAATGTACCATGGATTGCAGTATGCATGCCTGATTGAGGACAAGGAGATCAGCGTCATCAACGAAAACTACATGAGGTCCAAGGCCGATGACACCAATGATGACAACATGGAGTCCGAAGGTCCAATGATGACAACATGGAGTCCGAAGGTCCAAGGACCGGGGATGGTACGTCGACCACCCCAGGACCGACGACCGGAGGAGCTGGTGCTAGTGCGGAAGGGGCAGGTTCGTCGACCACCCCGGACATGCACGGAGCGCCTAAATCTCCATCGAATCCTGAAGAGGAGTTCCAGATCTCTCAGGACAAGGGTGCCATCGTCGAGGCCATCAACGCGCTCTTTGCCCTCGCGGACGACAACAACGTCTGCCTAAAATGTGGTGAAAGTGGCCATCCCAACTATGAATGTCCCAAGCAAGGCAATGATCCAGTGAAGTCAGCATTGATCAACTTGAGGAAGAAACTTCAGGGTGACGATGTGGAGAAGGATGATGCTCCCAAAAGAGATGATGACGAGGAGCAACGTTTCCGCCAGGAGAACTACAAAGCAACCAGGGCTGGAGAGTACATGTACCTTCAAGCAATCCCACTTTCAGTCATTGGAGACCGTGCCCATGGAGAAAAGAGCATTAATGGAGTGAGAGCCGAAGAGAAGGGCCCCAGATCAAAAGGCGAGCTGAACGACATTGTCGACACGGCCAGTCAAAGGGGCATCACTATGACTTGCAAAGAGATGAAGTCGGCTGTTCCTTACTCCGACCACAGGATGTACAAGAAGCTCAACATCGGCACGGATATCGGGAAGCTCAAGATTCTTCCAGTTAACGGTGGCAAGTTTTACTCCGAACGATTCGTCGGACCAGGAGTAGAGTATCCTCTACCGACCGAATCCAGAGCCAACCGTGTCTTCATGGAGGATTGGGAGAAGACGTACAGCTACTACTTCAACAAGGCCCTGAGACACCACATCGGACGAAGAGAGGTGTGGGAGAGAGCTTCTGGCAGAAGGGTAACAACGTTTTCCGGGCTCAGATGTGACGAAGCTGGATGGGTGGATATTATGGAATTCCTGCATCACCCATGGATCTTCGATCACGAGCAGGTCAAGACGGAGGATGACGGACATGTTGATGTTGACTACCGATCGGAGCGCATCAAGACCATGATCAAGACTGTTTGGTCAGAGTTTCAAGAGAAGAACAAGATCCGCATCCAATTCCTATGCATTGTTCTCGACTCTACCTTCGACAAGCCCGATGATTACCTCAAGAATGTCATGGGAGTCGGTGATGACATCCATGATCTCATTGCACAACGTGGCGAAGTCTTCCTAGCGCCTATTGCTGTGCGTTCACCTGGAGGATTTTCTGCCCGTGGATCAGATTTTCGCCTTGACTATTGCAAGATTTGTCACCCGATCACGACGAAGATCGCAGACGACATTTGGTTCTGCTATCATGTTACCGAGTTCAAGAGCGTGATCGGTATCATCAAAGAAGGTTTACGACCTGGAGGACACCGAGGAGGACGAACACAAGTTTTCCTCAACCCATTTGTGCCATGGGACAAACGATACAGGGAAATCCTGGGAGGACAACTGACACACCTAGGACAACCCCGCATGGTCCTTGCATTCAGCGTTCATCGACTCATGAGTCTTGGAGTCATGATCAACGCATCTGGCCAAATGGTGGTGAATGGAAACATTCCATTTTCTGAGGTGACTGCAGCGTGGTATCAGAACAACAACTATGATTGGGAACGACTAGTGGTTGATTCTGGAAAATTTCAATTGGTAAGATCATGTCAAGAACCAAAGGAAATTGCAACAGCAAACACGGTGCTTCGTGTCTCCAAAACCTTGCTGGACGACATTGACAGCGGGGACAACCTCCCGTTCTACGACAAGTTCGTCGAGGATGTTGCAAAACTGAAATCACTCAATGGAGCCCTCGACCCTAACAGCGAGTTGAGGAACGACATCGTGACGTTCATTTCCGAGAACTACACTCCGGGAGAAGCTGGACACTTGATATGCCCAGCATGTCTTACTGAGACTCCAAACATTCTATCCATCTGCATCAGATGCCATGGAACGCTTGTCAGCTGGGGGGAGAAAGAAGCAGAGAAAGATGAAAGCACTGCCCCTGGAATGCCTGAGAGAGAGAGGCATGAAAGCGGAGATGGTCAAGATGCCAATGACGATGACGTCGAGATGGAGAACGAGGACCAGGAGGAGATTGACAGACTGGTCAGGGAGTCGAAGAAGAACACCGAAGAGGCTCCGGATGATGACATTGACATGACCGACGCCAAGTCAAGCCACGAGAACGTCAAACCTGAAGAAGAACGTCGACGTAATGTACCTGATCAGAAAGTTGTATTCGGGGACAACACCAAAGAGCAACAAGAAGAAGAAGATGAAAAGGTTGCCAAAGAACAAGACCAAGATGAAGAGCGTCGAGAAGCAAGGATGCGATTGCCTATGTGGACAACGAGGACCATCCAAGCTTCACTAATCCAATGTATCGACATAGCCCAGAATGAGGACGCCATCGACAGCACAGCTCGCGCGATGGACTGCATGATTCTGAGCTACCTTAAAGATCGATATCGACTATTTCATCTATGGACTTCAGTGGCGCCAGCACAGCAGTATCATGACCACGTGACCCGACTCAAGCTTATTCCTGAATTTGACGGATACATTCCATACGTGGGCGAAACTGCAGATGGTGAACTGAAAGAACCAACGGAAGCACAGCTGATTGCTTCATTCCATGCGAACGCCAAGAATGGAAAGATCGGCGGACGCGATTTAGAAACCTATTTGAAGGGAGTGAATGGTATTCGAGTGCTTTGCAAGATTATGAAGTACTTGATCCAGATTGGCATCACCCCTCAGCTCATCTTCTCCAAGGTTGCCGACAACACGGACGAGGACGACGAGCGGCAAGCAGAAGCACGACGGGAATCATCCGACTTCGTCAGGAAGATTATCTCCGGTGCCTTTGCCGTACGTTCCTACGACTATTTTCGAGTCACACCACCTCGACGGGACGATCATGTTCATATTGATCCTGTAGAACTAGCATGTGCAGTGACTGAAAGATGCAGAACATTTACCATCCTCGTGACGCTCAACAAGATCGGCCTGGAGCTACCTCAACAACTACGCAAAGTATGGCAAGGCAAGCTCAGAGCTGTACAACAGAGCGAAGCACAGATGGCTACATGTCTCAGATCTCTTGATCCTGCAGAACGTGAAATTGCCAGGCAATATGTTCGAGCACTTGGTGATGAACAACCCGCAGAAGAACAGGCTTCGGCGAGCACCAAGGAGACCGGCACTGGCAAGAAACGGCGCAAAAGATGAATTACTCTTGATCTACATCAATGGAGAGATCTTATGAGAGGATTCTGAGTGCCGGGCTAATTCGTATGAGTCTCATGCATTCAGGGTGCGAAGATTACCTGGTGCAAGGGAACACTTTAAAGGGCATGTGAACCTAGGATCTAATTCGGTAGGTGCGTGGAAACCGGTACGGGCGTCGCCGTCCGGGAGTACACAATCCTCGGATACAGTAGATCAGCGGCTTACAACTCTTGGCTACGTGAAAAGGAAGCGAAATTGGGGCACATTTAGAATATCTTTGCCTGTGTTTCAATTGTTTAAACTCCTGTGTCCAATGCCTCGACCAACGTTCGCCGACGTGGTCTGAGGGCGTTGGACATGGGGGGTGTGAAAGCATTGCAGGCAGGAATTCAACATCGTTCACGAGTCACGCAGCGCAACACCCGCTGCGTTGGCTCAAGACCGCCCAACGCTCCTGTGTAACGTGAAAAGGGTTCTGATGAGCGCATCTGGTTGAAGGGGGCATCAACAAAGACTATAACATTAACAAGGTGGAGGACAAGGTCAAGTACATCCCGTCATTGAGGGCTGTCCCCATTCGCAATATAATATACATAATATATATATATATATGTATATATATATATGCATGTATATGTATGTATCGTATTATATTACTACTATTTTGAATGGTTTACAGTAGGCTGTGAATTAATACCTATGAATACAACTTGTAGGGACATGAACATCCATTTGCCAACTATTTTGATATTCACCAGGGGTGCAGGGTTTTAACACATCTCCATGTAGAAAATAGTAACCCCCACAAAGATGCAGAAGAGTTTCAACTTACATTTCCATTGTAGAAACGGATTTTGCCCAATTCGATCTTTGTGGGGTTTGCTATAAATATAGTAAAACCTTTTGTTACCATCTCTGAGTATAACTTGGTGTTTAATGGCGAAGACTTTTCTAGATGTGGCTTTTGGACCCGCAACTGGATACGGATGCCCTAATTGATGGCGGATAAATGTGGCGTTCCACATTTGAGACCCAAGTGATTGAATGTGCGAAGCCCTAGCAAGCCGTCCATACTAAAAGGGTCTAACTGTCCAGTTGCGGTGTGTTTGCAAGTTCCGCATTGGATCTGCTAAGAAATGTATCTGTATATACAAAACTATACAAATAAAGATCTATCTATATCTATCTATGCAGAGATACACATCAACATGATTGTCGGTGACGTTCGAATTGCTGTTTCAGTGACTTGAACGGATGGTATCGGCCATCCATCTGCGTGCGGGGAAGCCCGCTGGAGGTCTTTGATCCTAGTGCAGCCTGGAGAAAGAGCGAAACCATGGCGAAAGGACTACAAGGAGCCTGGACCCACGGACTACAACTACAATCTTCAATTTCAGAGGGAGCAGAGTGACTGGTTTTGGTGTTTTGTTTCTTTTTGTTGTAACCCCTGAAATAAAATGGGATGAGGATCCTTATTTCCGATGGACTTTCATATTTTTGTGATGGGCTGGTTCACCAACGAGGTGAATTTGTCCGATTGAAGTACGAAAAGATGAAAGAGAGAGCACCTCGTCACAGTTCTGAAGCTGTCGGAATTGATTTCCACCCACCGGCAACCGCGCTGCCGGTTTTGTGTCAGGTTGTCAATGCTCGCAACGAGAACGAGAGGGCCAAGGCCACGACATGAAAGTTGTGCACAATTCAGTGAAGCACAGATTCCCTAAAGCCAGGTGTTGCAGTGCTGCATGTCATTTTTTCCCATTGGTATCACATGTTTGGTTTCAAATATCCCCATCCATTCTGTAGGCGTTGCGTGTGATGAAGGCTGAAGCCCTGAAAGAGGCAGTGAGTATCACTGAGGCAGATTTGTTGAAGTAAAGGCCCCCAGAGAGGGCCTCTCAGGCACATTCCCTATATTTATACCGGACTCGTGTTGCTTGTGGCAAATTGATGATCCTGCATGGTTTGTGCGCTTTCAAAGACAAGCAATACATGAAATTGAAGAGATCACAAGGTGTACTGAAGAGTACGTATGGAGTAGAGAAACAGAGTAACAACATAGGACGCTGGTAGGTCCCATTGTTTGGGTCGAAGAGTTTGTACAGATGAAAGTGGCCTTTGAGTAGGCTCAAATGAGACATGAAACGGTGCTCAGCCTGTTTTTGGTTTGAGGCCATTTCACAGCTCTCCAGATTGTAAATAGGTGGACCTTAGATGACCTTAGTACCGAGGTGCTGGGATGAAATCCAGGCTCTATTGGCTTCGTAAGAAGTCATGATTGCCTGCACAGGCTTCCCCAAGCACAAACATCTTTAGGAATTTTAGGATCCTTTAAATTCAACGACTTTTGTTTTTTTTGTTATTTTCATTTATTTTCTAATTACTGCCATTTCACCCTTTCCAGGTCTGGGTGGCTGTTTCCTGATTTCGTCCCACCCTGTTGTTTGGAGGGGCAGAATGGATTTGTCAACTCCCAAGAAATTAGAGGTTGCATGCAGAGCTTTTTTAAACAGCGCCATTGGTGGCACCGACCAATACCAAAAGGAACCTAGAGAAACAAGTGCTTGATGCGAAACTTGCACTTGAGAAACCTTTGGACAAGCTCTTGGACAGTGGCTGTGCTGGTGTTCTCATTGAGAAGGTATATGTAGCTTGGACGACAGACTGTCTTCCGCTGCACTATTGCACTCAGAGATTAGAAAATCCAAAACTCACCAGCCATGGCCATCAAGACAGCTGGCGAGGCGCGAATTCCAAGCACAGTACTTTTCGTGAGCTTTCCAGTGGTATCTTCATCCGCAACTGCCACTGACGGCATCAGGACATCGCCTTCAAGACGCCTCAGACTCCCTTCACGCTCTCCTACTATGCAGCACATGATGGTGGTAGACGGACAGGGCGATAGTGAGCCAATCAGCTTTTTGAGCGCAAGCACAGTAAGCACCCTGCGAACATGTTATTACACAGTTGCATTGAGATGAATCAAATTCGCAACTTGGGTTTGCAGTGGACGATTCAAGACGATGCGTTACAAGACACAGGGTGTAGGGATGGATCAAAACCTCACCAGATTTCGGGGGATGAACATCAATTCCAAGTTTTTGTCCCATATAGCCATGTTGCAAATCTCGCTGAACCCAGACTTCCAGGACCACTTATGAACGTGAAATCTCCACCTGCGAAGCAGTCAGGGCCTGAGGGTCGTGGATGTTGTCCCGTCAGTCAGGAACCATTTTTTAGAGCACCGTTTTTCGTGGAGGAACCGGAGATTACCTGCCAAATTTTCCACAGCAACTCTCGTCGACCAGCCTTTGGATGCCTGGCTGGTGGGTCGATGGCAGGTTGGTGATCAAGGCAAGAGCAGGGCTTACCTGAAGATGGACAGGCTCGACTTTGCCGCTGCGATGGCTAATGATGACACCCAAGGGCTTCCTGTGCCCAGTTGGGGAGCTATTCCACTTAGCAATTGGTTGGGGAACCATGTATTGTATATGGAAAATATGTGTATGCACATAAACACACACAATTCTTTGGGTTACACACAATTATCTCCAAGCATGGTCTGTTTCTAGATTTCAATGATTTTCAAGGTTTCCCAGTCCTTCATGATTTGCCGATCAAGGATCAAGAGAGTACGTACAGGACATTGGTCGCTGGCCAGGGCTTCAAAACTTCTCCCAAAATTGGATGATGGGACATCCAGAAAAGCCCAACTTGCAGATACACAGGGCCCCCAGGGTTAACGGCTTAACGGTCCACCAAATCCATTGAAAGCCTCGCCCTTTGTTCCCAAAGTTGGGACATCCATGGTTTCAGTGAGAGATGTGAGCCCCACGTCGCTCTTCAACTTCATGTCGCTTCCGACTCCTCCTGTAATCTTCCAAGCTGCTTGGTCCAGGACTTCAGCTGGGCCAATTTGGAAGTGAGTTTTGCATAGTTTCATGGGATTGGGATTTTATGGGATTTTATGGGATTTTATGGGATTTACAAAAAAATCGGATTTTGTACTTCACAAAGCTGCTGAATCTATGAACCCTGGTAGATTTACAAGATTTTGGTGGGCAGATCACGATGCAACCAGACTTTCTGAGCCGGGAAGATGAACTCTCAATCTGTGCTACCCACTTAGCTTTTTGCTTTTACTTGGTTGCTGCAAAGTCTAGGTAGGCAGACAATCTGAGCATATCCGTGGCAGCATTCCAATGTGGACCAGTGATGCCACAGATGCGGAGCTTTGGAAGAGCCGGTTGTTGGACTGATCACGCTTCTCTGACATTGTTGGCGGAGCAAAGTCTTGCAATGCAAAATGTTTCGAGTCGACTCTTGGTTTGTGCCAAAAAATGGTAGAGCGGACTCTCAGAATTTCCCTAGAAACGACCAAGGTCACCAACATCATCCAACATCTCTGGCAAGTTGTGGCTTGACAAGTCTTGAATTTGACCAATGCTGGCAGGAGCTCGAAAACACCGGGCGCCTGGATAGCTGCTCTCCTTTGATTTTGGTCTTTGGAGCACCAGTGGAGTCACTGAAGAAGAAGGATGTCGTCGCTGCTTTGACAGAGGCAGCTGATTCTGTGCTGAGTTTAACCGTGGTTCATTTCTGCCAGTGTCATGAAGATGTCCCGAGTTTGCACCCTCTGATCTTGGGGGATGCTGATCCTTTGAACCTTCCAAGCCATATCACAGCTGCGGCTGCACCTGGGAAGGGAGATCTGTACCTGGGTGATGCCGATGCAGCTGCAACGTGGCTAGTCTTAGACCAGCTGCAGATCACCGCGGTGGTGAACGCTTCGCAAGGTCCCAACCATTTTCCGGATCATCTCCGATATTTCTCAGTGGATGTGGCAGACAGTCCTGAGGAGGATCTTTTAAGCCATGTGGATGATGTGGTTCTATTCATGGAAGATGTCTTATCCAAGGGCGAGAACCTCTTGGTGCACTGTCATATGGGAGTTTCAAGGTCAGCCAGCTTGGTCATAGCGTTGCTTGTCTGGTGCTAACATGTTAAATGTCACACATGATTTTCACTCTGAGTTGCTTCTCAACAAAGACATGCCTTTAAATCCTTTGAAAAGCATACGGGTGTACTGTACATAGATATGGTGGTACTTCTTGCCTTTTTTTCTCCTCAGTTTCCTGTCGGATCGGATGAACATGACTATGTGAGTCGTACTGCACTGCCGGCTGTTGCATCCGTTACTGGGAGGGGGAAGCTAATGCCGGAGTCACGGGAAAGCCTCGCTATGTTTATGACGCCATCTTAATCTGGCCTGCCCACCATGAGATGTGCTCTACAGTACTCGTATAGCTAGCTGAACTTGTTCCACTACGTTTGGAGGCACTTCACTCCGCCCATGTGATCATGTGCAGGATACAGTATACCTTGCACGTATGTTAAATAAATAAATAAATATAAATATATATATATATACGTGCGTAATGTCAGATATGGAGATGTCCGACACACACACGCACAGACAGGATGTCTGTCACATGTAATCATCATAGATGCATGTCACAACTGTATGTCTGACGTACTCCAGATAGACCTAAGATATGTTTTGGATACCCTTGAGCTTGACATATCCACGAAACATTTATATATACACACAATATATTATATATATATATTATATATATTATATATATTATATATATATATATTATATATATTATATATATATATACGTAGTATATGCAAGATAGATATCATTTCCAACATGCTGGGGTAGGGATGCAGCTTTTCCCGACTCCCCAGTGCTATCCGGGCACGAGGGCATGAAGCAACATTGCTATCAAGGCTTTAGAATCTCAGCGCTGCAAAGGTCTTTGCCCAACTCCTCTGATGGATATTGTGTACTCTAAGACATTGATCATCCAGAGTTCCAGAGTTTGATGTTCATTCTGAAAAGCCGTAGCGGCAATTGCAGTCTTTCTCCGCATTTTTTTCTAAGGTATTTGATGTGTACGCAGCATTTGGACTATTCTGCGGCTTTGGAGGCATCTGTGGCAAGCAGCATCAAGCAGAACATGCCTACCATTGGCTTGAAACGGGACTCGCTGATAAGTGTCTAAGTGTCGTGTGCGAGGTATTGAAAGCATTGTGTTGTCTAGCAATACATGTACCAAGCAGAGTCAGTTTCTGCTAGAAGGTGAATCCCAAATCCTTCAGTGATTCGCTGGTGTGGGGACATTATATTAATGGGCAGTGGATGGCAGTGGGGACATTCCGACTGGGCAGATGAACTGTCAGGCACTTCGCGACAGTCGCTGGTGTGCAAGGCCCAATGAAGGCTTTGTCGAACAGCTGAGAATCTTGGAGCAAAAAGGTGCTTGGTGCCCAGTAGCCCATTGATCATTTGGCTTTCAGCATGATTGTGAAAAAACACAACTCATTGCTGTTTTTTTTTCACCATAGTTTTTTGTTTTTTTTGGCTGAATTAAACCTTTGATCCCCAATCATGAATTCTTGTACCTGCGACTAAGTGGGATACTTGCTCACTTTGCGCTGACATGGCAGGCTCCCCCGGGAGTTCCTAGCGCAAGAGGCAATCGCAACGGGTAGCGCCAAAGAATCTCGGTGCAGAATATCCACATGGCTGGGTTTTCACGAGGTAAGCCAAACCATTGGATTTTTCAGCTCAACATGAGCAAAATTGAAGCCAATTTTGGGGTCCCGGATCCGCATTTGGAGTGCTGTACTCTACTTTGAGCCCCAGAAGCTTTTCCGGCGCATGTGGATGCCTTGGGCAAGAAGTTCTATTATCAATGGCCCGTGGCAAACGAGAGTAAATATAGCTTTTGTGAGAGGAGCTATTTGGCTATGGATCAGAATTACAAGTCCCTCAAATAGGATAATTTAGTTAGTAGGTTAAGGACCAAAAAGTCATTGGATTTGTCGGCCCCTACCATTGTGGATTCCCATGGAACCAGCTGATCGGCCCAGGTGAGGCGAGAGCAGCCAGATGCTCCAGCCCACATGGATCCGAAAGTCAAGCGCCAACCTGGCTCCAGTTGTGCAAAGGGGTGTGCCCAACCCTATTAGGCCCTATAGAAAATCCCAGGGCGTTGTCGTCATTTTCCACATGAATTCCGGCAATTTCGGAGGTTTGGAGTATCCAGCGTTTTGAGACGAACACATGCACATTTAAGAGAAAGGTGAAGTGTGCTTGAGGTTCAAAATCTGATGTAAAACACTTTGAAACATATGCAGGAACGGTATGACAAGAGCGATACCGAAACGTGTTGTGCCTTCGTACTGCGACTCATGTCGTTGGTGCCAGACTGACCCAATCACAAGCTCCTACATTGGCATCTTTACAAAGTAAGTTGCCAATGCGGTGTATGTATATATATATATATATTTACAAGTAATATATATATTATATAATATATAACAATACAATATGATATGATATAATATACATAATATAATATAATATATAATAGATAATATATAATATATAATATATAATAGATAATAGATAATATATAATATATAATATATAATATATAATATATAATATATAGTATATAGTATATAATATATAATATATAATATGTAATATATAATGTAATGTAATGTAATATAATATGATATAATATGATATGATATAATATCATAAAATACAATATATAATATAATATGATATGATACAGTAGACGGACAAATTATTCAAACCCCTATCCATGAGTTATAGGCCACCCCCTGCCTCCCCCGAATTTCAATGTTATGGTTTCGTAGCGCTGTTCCTGCTCTGGGGGTTTGATTTATTTCGTCCATTCGAAGGAACGAACCAAACAAGAAAATAACATTGATATTTGGGGTGAAGGGGGTTGTTCTATGTATAAGGGTTTGAATAATTCGTCCATCTACGGTACGGGGGGTGGTGGTCAGCAGGAGTCTATAGCGAATGGTAAGCTTCACTTTTTGTTCAACATTAGCACATATTGTACGAAGATATGAATTAGGTGACAGACGTGCATTGAACATTTTGAATTGGCCAACTAAGGCTCATGATGAAGATTTTGACGAAGCTGACTTTTGGATGATTTTAATGATGATGTACTGAAAGATATTGCGCAAGTGCGCTTTTCTGTTTCACATCTGTGTTTGTCCTACCTACTTGTTCTTGTTGTTCTTGTTGTTCTTGTTGTTCTTGTTGTTGTTGTTGTTGTAGTTCCCTTTCCTGGGCGTGACTGAAAATGCTGTGTTTTTCCAGTTCCCTTTCCGGCGCGATTGAAAATGCCGTGCTTTTCCAGTTCCCTTTCCCGGGTGTGATCGAAAATGCTGTGTTTTTCCGATTCCTTTTCTTCAGCGTGTACGAAGTGCTGTGTTTTTCCAGTTCCCTTTCTCTTTCCCAGTTCCCTTCCCAGTTCCCTTCGCGGATTCCTTATGTTTTTCCAAGGAAAGTGCGTTGCAGACTTTTTTTAAAGAAAAAACAAAAATGTTTTCTTTTTTAAAAGAAGAAAGTCTGCAACGCACTTTCCTTGGAAAAACATAGGGAATCCGCGAAGGGAACTGGGAAGGGAACTGGGAAGGGAACTGGGAAAGAGAAAGGGAACTGGAAAAACACAGCACTTCGTACACGCTGAAGAAAAGGAATTGGAAAAACATAGCATTTTCGATCACACCCGGGAAAGGGAACTGGAAACACACGGCATTTTCAATCACACCCGGGAAAGGGAACTGGAAAAACACGGCATTTTCAATCACACCCGGGAAAGGGAACTGGAAAAGCACAGCATTTTCAATCACGCCCAGGAAAGGGAACAACAACAACAACAACAGCAACAGCAACAGCAACAGCAACAACAACAGCAACAACAACAGCAACAGCAACAGCAACAGCAACAACCAACAACCAACAACCAACAACCAACAACCAACAACCAACAACCAACAACCAACAACCAACAACAACAACAAGAAGAAGAGGAAGAAGAAGGAGAAGGAGAATAAGAAGAAGGAGAAAAAGAAGAAGAAGAAGAAGAAAAAGAAGAAGAAGAAGAAGAAGAACAACGACAACGACAACGACAACGACAAGAACAAGAACAAGAACAAGCAGGTGGGCCTTATCATCCACCTTTATGGTGTTGTCACTGGGTGTGCTTTTTCAGACAAGTGGTGACATGCGATGACACTTGTTAAAGCAATGTCTGAGTTCTTGGGATCGTATGCGAAAAAATGCAAAAAGATGAGGAAAAAATAAACGCTTAAGACAGTAGATGGACAAATTATTCAAACCCCTATCCATGAGTTATAGGCCACCCCCTGCCTCCCCCGAATTTCAATGTTATGGTTTCGTAGCGCTGTTCCTGCTCTGGGGGTTTGATTTATTGCGTCCATTCGAAGGAACGAACCAAACAAGAAAATAACATTGATATTTGGGGTGAGGGGGGTTGCTCTATGTATAAGGGTTTGAATAATTCGTCCATCTACGGTATAATATGATAATAGATGACAATAAAAAAGATAATATGATATGATATAATATAAAATAATAAATGATATACTATACTATACTATACGATACGATACCATACCATACTATACTATCCTGTACTTTACTATACTATACTATACTATAATGCCATAATATAATATAATATAATAATATAATATAATATAATATAATAATATATAATATATAATAATATATAATAAATAATAATATATAATAATATATAATATAATATATAATATAATATATAATATAATATAATATAATATATAATATAATATAATATATAATATAATATAATATATTATAATATAATATAATATAATTATAATATAGTATAATTATAATATAATTATAATATAATACAATATACTATAATATAATATAATTATAATATAATCATAATATAATTATAATATAATTATAATATAATTACAATATAATTATAATTATAATTATAATATAATATATTATATTATATTATATTATATTATATTATGTGTGTGTGCGCGCGCGAATGCGCGTATTGATGACAGGTTTAATGCGAGAGATCGCTGTCTCTGAGGGTATGAGGCTGGGTTGACGAAACAGGTAGGACAATGGATTGCTAACATTTCATGGTTCATCTAGGAGCAGCACAGGGAAATTTCTTTGCCGCCAATCTTTGATGCTCTCCCAGACTTGGAGCGAATTGTCAGGCGCTTTTTTATTGCCCAGCCGAGGTATGCATGTACACCTAGCATGATGTGTTTGATCAAATTCGTGGAGTGCATTAGATTTTCCTTTGTGTCAGGCAAGAGGTGGTGATGAACCCAGAATTTGTTGCTGACATCAAGCGAAAGCACAAGGCAGTGTGCTGCATGATTTTCAGCAGGTTGCACCCACAGAGACATTGCACAAGGCCTTTTTAGGTGCAAGTTAGGGAGATGTAGTCTTATATAAATATTTTGGCGGCACAGATGGTTGTCTTATTTGAGATGCCCTGGATCAAGCTGAGAGACCTAAGCAGACTCCAATCCCAGATCAAGTTTGGCGACAGGTTTGACTTGCATGTAGCTGTTCCAGCTCAAACATGTCTCAAGCCATACGACAATTTATTATATAATGGAGCCATGGAGCAGAGTGCTGGGGAGTTCGCGGTCTTCGTGACTTTGAAAATACTTGGAGTCCTCATCTCACTCTACCTTTTCCTCTTTGGTCTTGACCTGATGGGCGGTTCCTTCAGTGCACTTGGCAGTAAGGGTGCCGGGAACCTGTTCACCTTTTCCGACCATCCCATTACTGCTCTCATGGTTGGCATTTTGGCCACTGTCTTGGTGCAGTCCTCATCAACAAGCACGAGCATTGTCATTGGTTTGGTTGGAGCTGACGTGTTGTCGGTCCGCGGGGCGATCCCAATCATTATGGGCGCGAACATTGGCACCTCTGTCACAAACACCATTGTCACTAGGCAGCGCTTTTCTTTTCCGCACATCTGGTTTGGAGGTCTGGTTCTTGTCTTGCATTCGCACCTTTTACTCCTCCTCCTGCCTTCCTCTTCCTTCTTCTTCCGCTTCCTATCTCTATCATAGCTTGTCTCATTCACACTTACAGTATCTCCGGCATAACTTATGTCTGTCAAACTTATCTCTGTTGTAACTTCTCATTGCGAACCTTAACTCTCTCAAACTTATCCCCATCATTTCTGATTTGGATCAGAGCTTCTTTCCATCACAGCTTATTATGTCTGCAACAACTTATCTCCAGCAAACTTATCTCTATCACATGTTATTTGCACATAACTTTTGTGTCATGTGTATTTTGTGTGGCAGGCACAATACATCTTCTTCGTCAGCTGTGTTTAGCGTGGCAGGCGCGGTACTTGGAGCATGTCACCTCCATTTCCTGCGTCAGACACGGTACTTTGTGCAGCAGCATTCTATTCAATCTTCTTCTTGTTCTTCCTCTTCCCCTCGTGACTATTGGTCTTATTCTTCATCTTCTTGTTCCTTTTCTTCTTTTTCCCACGGATCACCTCCATCAAAAGACCGTCCCCACCCATTTCAATTTCCTACCTCACTTCTTCGTATCTCTTCCAGTTCCTAGTTTTTAACTTTTGGTTTTGCTTAACATGTGGGCTGATCCGGTCCTTCAACTGAGTGAAGTTCATCGAAGGTACCTGGAATGCGTCACTCAAGAAGACAGCAGACAGGCTGGCTACGTTGTTCCATGCGAACGAAGTGAGATAGGGGGGTCTGGGTGTGCTGGTTGCCGAAAGGTGCTAAAATCTTGCAGTAGCCTGGGGGAAAGGGTGTGTTCAGGAGCAGTACTGGGCAAACGGGTGACAATAGGCCTTAGATTCCCCGTGGTCTGGAGTCCTTTCAAAGTGCTTCAGGTTCTGCTCGGAGACAGGCTAAGGTTGAGATTGTTTGTCTGCCTGCTGAGTTTATCGAAGTGTTTTTTTTTGAGTTTGCCTTGAGGCAGTGTGGAAAGGCACTTGTCTTGTCAGGTGATGCTACGGAAAAGGTGTATGTGTAGGAAAAGGCGCTTTCATGGTGTGCAAGACATTTCAGATTTTTTTGGACAGGGCTTTGGGCTGAGCTTGTTGGGTTTTGCAAGTGCCTTTTGAGTTTGCCTCAAACCAATACGGGAGTAGGCAAAGGCACTTTTCAGGTGATGCTACAGAAGAGATATATGTGTGGGCTAGGGCGCTTCAGGCTCTGCCGGGACAGGGATTGAACAGGGGTTTGGGTCGAGATTGTTTGTGTGTTTGTCGGCTTGATCAAAGTGCTTTCGTAGGTTTGCCGCAATGCAGTCTCAGAGAGCAGGAAAGGGCTCTTTTCAGGTGATGCTCTAGGGAAGGTATATGTGGCGCAATGCTCTGCTGCTATCTTGATATCTCTACACATGACAGAATCATGCACATGCGCTGGCCGCGGAAAAAGAAGCTGTCTGTCCGTCTGTCCGTCTGTCCGTCTGTCCGTCTGTCCGTCTGTCCGTCTGTCTGTCTCTCCGTCTGTCCGTCTCTCTCTCTCTCTCTCTTTCCGCCCCCTCTCCATCTCACCCTTCTCTACCTGAGGCTGGCTTTGGTTCTTCTCCTTCTCAGGTTGCCAAGGACTGCAATAGATAGATATATATATAATTATATATATATTATATCAGATATATCAGTACACTTTGAGTCAGTGACCTTTATGTTGTTCCTTTGTGATTTTTGCAGAAACAGACACTTTGGGATTCTGTGCGGGAAAAATATCATAACTAGCTATAAAACTGGCCAAAAAATGCCCGTAAAGTGGAAAAAAAACACGGGGAACTTCGCACTCCAAATGAGACATTTACCATGTGACCATGAAAATGCTACACAGTGGCGCAGTGACTGAAACTATTTTGCAGATAATGGGCAATGACTTGCTTTGGTTTGGTTGGGTCAGGTTAGTTTGTTATGTCAGTGGCGAGGTCAGCATGGCACATGCAGGGGACCGCATCGAACTGGAGCGCGCCTTTGCTGGCGCCACAGTCCATGACATGTTCAACATGCTGTCCGTCATGATTTTGTTGCCCTTAGAAACCACCATGGATGCCATGTCCGGAGGAGGGGGAGGCTTACTTTTCTTGGTGTCGGAGTGTTTGACACAGGCTGCCCTACGAGGTGGAAAAACCGACTTGCAATTCCCTTCCCCCACCAAAGAGATCGTCAGCCCCTTCACCAAGTTGTTCTTGAGCAAGGACAAGAACACCATCAAGGCATTGTCCTTCGGAGCCCCTGAGGCCCTGAGCTGTGGCACAGACTGCACTAAATACTGTGTGAGTTCGGACATGAGCAAGGCTTGGAAGAAGGTTGCGAAAGAGGCCTACGAGACCTTGATTGCCTGCAATGGCACCGTGTCGTGCGACGCAGGCAGTTGCTACACCAATGCGGGAGAATATTTTGAGAACAGCATTGAGACAGGAAGGACCATCAAAGGTGGTTTCTTGAAAGATGCTGGTGATGTTGCTGGTGGCATCATTGGACTCATCCTTTCTCTGGTCGTTCTTTGCGGAGCCTTGATTGTCATGGTGAAGCTTCTGCACAGCCTTGTCATGGGCCAGGCGAAGAAAGTGATCATGAAAGGCACCAAGATGAATGACTACTTGGCCATCCTGGTGGGTCTGGGAATCACTATCATTGTGCAATCCAGCTCTGTGACAACATCAGCTCTCACTCCGTTGGTTGGCATTGGAGTCTTGCCAGTTTACAAGATGCTCCCGATGACCCTGGGAGCAAACATTGGCACGACCTTCACGTCAATATCTAAAGCACTCGCCGCTCACAAGAGCAGCAGTCTACAGATTGCCTTTTGCCACCTGCTGTTCAACCTGATAGGCTTTGTGATCTGGTTCCCTGTGCCTGCCATGAGAAAGGTGGTACTGAAGGCTGCATGCACCTTGGGGATTTACACCTACTACTGGCGCATTGCTTCACTGATCTACATCTTGGTGGTGTTTGTGGCAGTGCCTGGTGCGTGCTTGTTGATTTCTCTGCTCTGCTCAGTGAGTGTTACTGCCGGTGTAGTGGTTACGATCCTGGCCCTGGACGGTGTGGTATTCTTTCTCAATTGGTGGATCAAAGCAGGCGGCTGCTTGAAGGTGGTGAGCGAAGATGAACGTGAAGCGCGCAAGGCTGAGATTGAGGAGGAGATGGGTCTGGCTGAGCCGAGGGAGGAACCTCGGGAGCAGCCGGACTCCACAGTTTGAGTGATCTCGAGGCAAAGCTTCTAGTAGATCCATGCAGATCCCACAATGCGTGAATTTGCCTTCGTCAGGGAGGACTCCGTCTGTGAAAACGCAGCATTAATCTTTGCGCAGGTACCTCATGACGTTGTGCAGTAAACCATGTTTGAATGCTGGCTATAAACCCAGCAAACTCCTGGAAGACCCAGGCTTTGGCAGCAGTTTAGGTATCCCCAAAGGGAGGATAAACCATGCTCTGTTTTTGTGCTGCCCAAGATCAACACTTCCTGTTGTGGGGCAAGTACTTTGGAGAAGTTCCGGCGCTGACAGAGTTTAGTCTGAGACTTGGAAGAGAGCCTCCTAGATGCGTTAAAAAGGATGGGCTGAGGACACATCAGAAGGATGCACGATGCTGGAACTAATTGTGTCACAGCCGCTTTCGAGCAAGACTCTGAGTCATGTCAACGTGCTTATCGCATCTGATTGCATGGTTGTTTCGACCACTGCCAGCCAGTGGAATTTTCAGATGTAGGTGTGATCAGGTCACAAACCAGGTGAAATGTCAGGTAGCGTTGCAATGAGTTTCACCGTACGTAGCTGTTTGAGCTCAGGGGTTCGTGCCAGCAAGAGATTCCTCCAGATTTTTGATCAACATGGCTGAAGCGGCTGAAGCCAAGGAGCAGAGTGCTGGGGAGTTCGCGGTCTTCGTGACTTTGAAAATCCTTGGAGTCCTCATCTCACTCTACTTTTTCCTCTTTGGTCTTGACCTGATGGGCGGTTCCTTCAGTGCACTTGGCAGTAAGGGTGCCGGGAACCTGTTCACCTTTTCGGACAATCCCATTGCCGGCCTCATGGTTGGCATTTTGGCCACTGTCTTGGTGCAGTCCTCATCAACAAGCACGAGTATCGTCGTTGGTTTGGTTGGGGCTGATGTGTTGGCGGTCAAGCAGGCAATCCCAATCATCATGGGCGCGAACATTGGCACCTCTGTCACAAACACCATTGTCACTAGGCAGTGCTTCTTTTGGTTGGTTCATTGAGGGTTGATGGTATTGGAATGTATTGGATGTACTTGACTGATTTGTGTTGATTTGATGTGGCAATGGTTTGGTCAGATCACTTTTTGGACCACATGTGGATTGGTTTTCATATGTTTTCATTGGTTCTGGATTGTTGTGCTTAGTTTGTTTGACGGGGTGCTCGGTCATTGGCTGCTTTTCGTCGTTGGCACATCTTCGCAATGCAACTGGGCCAGGTCAGCATGGCACATGCCGGAGACCGCATCGAACTGGAGCGCGCCTTTTCTGGTGCCACTGTCCATGACATGTTTAACATGCTGTCCGTCCTGACCTTGTTGCCCCTGGAAATCATCATCGCAGCCCTGTCCGGAGAGGGAGGCTTGCTCTTTTTCATTTCGAAGGGTTTGACGAACGCGATCATAGGCGGAGGTGGAGAATCCGACTTGCGATTCCCTTCCCCCACCAAAGAGATCGTCAGCCCCTTCACCAAGTTGTTCTTGAGCAAGGACAAGAACACCATCAAGGCATTGTCCTTCGGAGCCCCTGAGCCCCTGAGCTGTGGCACAGACTGCACTAAATACTGTGTGAGTTCGGACATGAGCAAGGCTTGGAAGAAGGTTGCGAAAGAGGCCTACGAGACCTTGATTGCCTGCAATGGCACCGTGTCGTGCGACTCAGGCAGTTGCTACACCAATGCGGGAGAATATTTTGAGAACAGCATTGAGACAGGAAGGACCATCAAAGGTGGTTTCTTGAAAGATGCTGGTGATGTTGCTGGTGGCATCATTGGACTCATCCTTTCTCTGGTCGTTCTTTGCGGAGCCTTGATTGTCATGGTGAAGCTTCTGCACAGCCTTGTCATGGGCCAGGCGAAGAAAGTGATCATGAAAGGCACCAAGATGAATGACTACTTGGCCATCCTGGTGGGTCTGGGAATCACTATCATTGTGCAATCCAGCTCTGTGACAACATCAGCTCTCACTCCGTTGGTTGGCATTGGAGTCTTGCCCGTTTACAAGATGCTCCCGATGACCCTGGGAGCAAACATTGGCACGACCTTCACTTCAATGTTTGCAGCACTTGCAGTGATGAAGGCAGGCAGTCTACAGATTGCCTTTTGCCACCTGCTGTTCAACCTGATCGGCATTTTGATCTGGTTCCCTGTGCCTGTCATGCGCAAGGTTGTCATCCGGGCTGCATGCACGCTGGGCTTCTATGCCTCATACTGGCGCCTGGTTCCACTGATCTACATCTTGGTGATGTTCGTTACAGTGCCTGGTGTGTGCTTGTTGATTTCCTTGCTCTACTCAGCCAGTGTTGCTGGCGGTGTAGTGGTCACCATCCTGGCCGTGGCTGCCGTGGCAGGCTTAGTCTACTGGTGGGTGAGACTGGGCGGCTGCTACAAGGTGGTGAGCCAAGAGGAACGTGACGCCCGAAAGGCTGAGATTGAGGAGGAGATGGGCGAGACGGGTGTGGCTGAGCCGAAGGAGGAACCTCAGGCAGAGTCGACTGTTTGAGTGCGAGATGAATCTCAGATGATCTGAGATCTCTTGGCTGACATGCACTTTTTTCTAGTTCCAGCACACCTTTACTCTTTAATATCCTTTAATTAATTCATGTGGTGGTGGGTTGCTAGCGTCCTTGTCGCGCTGAGCAGTAAACCAACGCTACCACTTCTTTGCATTTTCTCTTGATGGCGTTGTGCTGGCCATAAGCAGCAATCTGGGTGAACCCAGTTTTTTTTTTGCAGAAGCCTAGGGTCCCAAAACCCGACCCCAAAGGGGGAGGATCAACCCTGTTCTGCTCTTGCGCTGCCCAGCAAAGAGCAAAAACTCTGTTGTGGGGTAAGCACTTTGGAGAAGTGCTAGCGCTTTGGAGAAGTGCCAGCGCTGATAGAATCTTGTCGCAGACTTGGACAATTGCCTCCTAGATGCGTTCAAAAGATGGACTGAGGACACATCAGAAGGATGCACCATGCTGGAACTAATTGTGTCACAGACGCTTTCGAGCAAGACTCTGAGACATGTCAACGTGCTTATCGCATCTGATCGCATCATTGTTTCGACCACTGCCAGCCAGTGGAATTTTCAGATGTAGGTGTGATCAGATCACAAGCCAGGTGAAATGTCAGGTAGCATTTCCCTGAGTTTCACCGTATGTAGCTGTTTGAGCTCAGAGGTTCGTGCCAGCAAGAGATTCCTCCAGATTTTTGATCAACATGGCTGAAGCGGCTGAAGCCAAGGAGCAGAGTGCTGGGGAGTTCGCGGTCTTCGTGACTTTGAAAATCCTTGGAGTCCTCATCTCACTCTACTTTTTCCTCTTTGGTCTTGACCTGATGGGCGGTTCCTTCAGTGCACTTGGCAGTAAGGGTGCCGGGAACCTGTTCACCTTTTCGGACAATCCCATTGCCGGCCTCATGGTTGGCATTTTGGCCACTGTCTTGGTGCAGTCCTCATCAACAAGCACGAGTATCGTCGTTGGTTTGGTTGGGGCTGATGTGTTGGCGGTCAAGCAGGCAATCCCAATTATCATGGGCGCGAACATTGGCACCTCTGTCACAAACACCATTGTCACTAGGCAGTGCTTCTTTTGGTTGGTTCATTGAGGGTTGATGGTATTGGAATGTATTGGATGTACTTGACTGATTTGTGTTGATTTGATGTGGCAATGGTTTGGTCAGATCACTTTTTGGACCACATGTGGATTGGTTTTCATATGTTTTCATTGGTCTGGATTGTTGTGCTTAGTTTGTTTGACGGGGTGCTCGGTCATTGGCTGCTTTTCGTCGTTGGCACATCTTCGCAATGCAACTGGGCCAGGTCAGCATGGCACATGCCGGAGACCGCATCGAACTGGAGCGCGCCTTTTCTGGTGCCACTGTCCATGACATGTTTAACATGCTGTCCGTCCTGACCTTGTTGCCCCTGGAAATCATCATCGCAGCCCTGTCCGGAGAGGGAGGCTTGCTCTTTTTCATTTCGAAGGGTTTGACGAACGCGATCATAGGCGGAGGTGGAGAATCCGACTTGCGATTCCCTTCCCCCACCAAAGAGATCGTCAGCCCCTTCACCAAGTTGTTCTTGAGCAAGGACAAGAACACCATCAAGGCATTGTCCTTCGGAGCCCCTGAGGCCCTGAGCTGTGGCACAGACTGCACTAAATACTGTGTGAGTTCGGACATGAGCAAAGCTTGGAAGAAGGTTGCGAAAGAGGCCTACGAGACCTTGATTGCCTGCAATGGCACCGTGTCGTGCGACTCAGGCAGTTGCTACACCAATGCGGGAGAATATTTTGAGAACAGCATTGAGACAGGAAGGACCATCAAAGGTGGTTTCTTGAAAGATGCTGGTGATGTTGCTGGTGGCATCATTGGACTCATCCTTTCTCTGGTCGTTCTTTGCGGAGCCTTGATTGTCATGGTGAAGCTTCTGCACAGCCTTGTCATGGGCCAGGCGAAGAAAGTGATCATGAAAGGCACCAAGATGAATGACTACTTGGCCATCCTGGTGGGTCTGGGAATCACTATCATTGTGCAATCCAGCTCTGTGACAACATCAGCTCTCACTCCGTTGGTTGGCATTGGAGTCTTGCCCGTTTACAAGATGCTCCCGATGACCCTGGGAGCAAACATTGGCACGACCTTCACTTCAATGTTTGCAGCACTTGCAGTGATGAAGGCAGGCAGTCTACAGATTGCCTTTTGCCACCTGCTGTTCAACCTGATCGGCATTTTGATCTGGTTCCCTGTGCCTGTCATGCGCAAGGTTGTCATCCGGGCTGCATGCACGCTGGGCTTCTATGCCTCATACTGGCGCCTGGTTCCACTGATCTACATCTTGGTGATGTTCGTTACAGTGCCTGGTGTGTGCTTGTTGATTTCCTTGCTCTACTCAGCCAGTGTTGCTGGCGGTGTAGTGGTCACCATCCTGGCCGTGGCTGCCGTGGCAGGCTTAGTCTACTGGTGGGTGAGACTGGGCGGCTGCTACAAGGTGGTGAGCCAAGAGGAACGTGACGCCCGAAAGGCTGAGATTGAGGAGGAGATGGGCGAGACGGGTGTGGCTGAGCCGAAGGAGGAACCTCAGGCAGAGTCGACTGTTTGAGTGCGAGATGAATCTCAGATGATCTGAGATCTCTTGGCTGACATGGACTTTTTTCTAGTTCCAGCACACCTTTAATCTTTAATATCCTTTAATTAATTCATGTGGTGGTGGGTTGCTAGCGTCCTTGTCGCGCTGAGCAGTAAACCAACGCTACCACTTCTTTGCATTTTCTCTTGATGGCGTTGTGCTGGCCATAAGCAGCAATCTGGGTGAACCCAGTTTTTTTTTGCAGAAGCCTAGGGTCCCAAAACCCGACCCCAAAGGGGGAGGATCAACCCTGTTCTGCTCTTGCGCTGCCCAGCAAAGAGCAAAAACTCTGTTGTGGGGTAAGCACTTTGGAGAAGTGCTAGCGCTTTGGAGAAGTGCCAGCGCTGATAGAATCTTGTCGCAGACTTGGACAATTGCCTCCTAGATGCGTTCAAAAGATGGACTGAGGACACATCAGAAGGATGCACCATGCTGGAACTATTGTGTAATAGCCGCTTTCGAGCAAGACTCTGAGTCATGTCAACGTGCTTATCGCATCTGATCGCATCATTGTTTCGACCACTGCCAGCCAGTGGAATTTTCAGATGTAGGTGTGATCAGGTCACAAACCAGGTGAAATGTCAGGTAGCATTGCAATGAGTTTCACCGTATGTAGCTGTTTGAGCTCAGAGGTTCGTGCCAGCAAGAGATTCCTCCAGATTTTTGATCAACATGGCTGAAGCGGCTGAAGCCAAGGAGCAGAGTGCTGGGGAGTTCGCGGTCTTCGTGACTTTGAAAATCCTTGGAGTCCTCATCTCACTCTACTTTTTCCTCTTTGGTCTTGACCTGATGGGCGGTTCCTTCAGTGCACTTGGCAGTAAGGGTGCCGGGAACCTGTTCACCTTTTCCGACAATCCCATTGCCGGCCTCATGGTTGGCATTTTGGCCACTGTCTTGGTGCAGTCCTCATCAACAAGCACGAGTATCGTCGTTGGTTTGGTTGGGGCTGATGTGTTGGCGGTCAAGCAGGCAATCCCAATCATCATGGGCGCGAACATTGGCACCTCTGTCACAAACACCATTGTCACTAGGCAGTGCTTCTTTTGGTTGGTTCATTGAGGGTTGATGGTATTGGAATGTATTGGATGTACTTGACTGATTTGTGTTGATTTGATGTGGCAATGGTTTGGTCAGATCACTTTTTGGACCACATGTGGATTGGTTTTCATATGTTTTCATTGGTCTGGATTGTTGTGCTTAGTTTGTTTGACGGGGTGCTCGGTCATTGGCTGCTTTTCGTCGTTGGCACATCTTCGCAGTGCAACTGGGCCAGGTCAGCATGGCACATGCCGGAGACCGCATCGAACTGGAGCGCGCCTTTTCTGGTGCCACTGTCCATGACATGTTTAACATGCTGTCCGTCCTGACCTTGTTGCCCCTGGAAATCATCATCGCAGCCCTGTCCGGAGAGGGAGGCTTGCTCTTTTTCATTTCGAAGGGTTTGACGAACGCGATCATAGGCGGAGGTGGAGAATCCGACTTGCGATTCCCTTCCCCCACCAAAGAGATCGTCAGCCCCTTCACCAAGTTGTTCTTGAGCAAGGACAAGAACACCATCAAGGCATTGTCCTTCGGAGCCCCTGAGGCCCTGAGCTGTGGCACAGACTGCACTAAATACTGTGTGAGTTCGGACATGAGCAAAGCTTGGAAGAAGGTTGCGAAAGAGGCCTACGAGACCTTGATTGCCTGCAATGGCACCGTGTCGTGCGACTCAGGCAGTTGCTACACCAATGCGGGAGAATATTTTGAGAACAGCATTGAGACAGGAAGGACCATCAAAGGTGGTTTCTTGAAAGATGCTGGTGATGTTGCTGGTGGCATCATTGGACTCATCCTTTCTCTGGTCGTTCTTTGCGGAGCCTTGATTGTCATGGTGAAGCTTCTGCACAGCCTTGTCATGGGCCAGGCGAAGAAAGTGATCATGAAAGGCACCAAGATGAATGACTACTTGGCCATCCTGGTGGGTCTGGGAATCACTATCATTGTGCAATCCAGCTCTGTGACAACATCAGCTCTCACTCCGTTGGTTGGCATTGGAGTCTTGCCAGTTTACAAGATGCTCCCGATGACCCTGGGAGCAAACATTGGCACGACCTTCACTTCAATGTTTGCAGCACTTGCAGTGATGAAGGCAGGCAGTCTACAGATTGCCTTTTGCCACCTGCTGTTCAACCTGATCGGCATTTTGATCTGGTTCCCTGTGCCTGTCATGCGCAAGGTTGTCATCCGGGCTGCATGCACGCTGGGCTTCTATGCCTCATACTGGCGCCTGGTTCCACTGATCTACATCTTGGTGATGTTCGTTACAGTGCCTGGTGTGTGCTTGTTGATTTCCTTGCTCTACTCAGCCAGTGTTGCTGGCGGTGTAGTGGTCACCATCCTGGCCGTGGCTGCCGTGGCAGGCTTAGTCTACTGGTGGGTGAGACTGGGCGGCTGCTACAAGGTGGTGAGCCAAGAGGAACGCGACGCCCGAAAGGCTGAGATTGAGGAGGAGATGGGCGAGACGGGTGTGGCTGAGCCGAAGGAGGAACCTCAGGCAGAGTCGACTGTTTGAGTGCGAGATGAATCTCAGATGATCTGAGATCTCTTGGCTGACATGCACTTTTTTCTAGTTCCAGCACACCTTTACTCTTTAATATCCTTTAATTAATTCATGTGGTGGTGGGTTGCTAGCGTCCTTGTCGCGCTGAGCAGTAAACCAACGCTACCACTTCTTTGCATTTTCTCTTGATGGCGTTGTGCTGGCCATAAGCAGCAATCTGGGTGAACCCAGTTTTTTTTTTGCAGAAGCCTAGGGTCCCAAAACCCGACCCCAAAGGGGGAGGATCAACCCTGTTCTGCTCTTGCGCTGCCCAGCAAAGAGCAAAAACTCTGTTGTGGGGTAAGCACTTTGGAGAAGTGCTAGCGCTTTGGAGAAGTGCCAGCGCTGATAGAATCTTGTCGCAGACTTGGACAATTGCCTCCTAGATGCGTTCAAAAGATGGACTGAGGACACATCAGAAGGATGCACCATGCTGGAACTAATTGTGTCACAGACGCTTTCGAGCAAGACTCTGAGACATGTCAACGTGCTTATCGCATCTGATCGCATCATTGTTTCGACCACTGCCAGCCAGTGGAATTTTCAGATGTAGGTGTGATCAGATCACAAGCCAGGTGAAATGTCAGGTAGCATTTCCCTGAGTTTCACCGTATGTAGCTGTTTGAGCTCAGAGGTTCGTGCCAGCAAGAGATTCCTCCAGATTTTTGATCAACATGGCTGAAGCGGCTGAAGCCAAGGAGCAGAGTGCTGGGGAGTTCGCGGTCTTCGTGACTTTGAAAATCCTTGGAGTCCTCATCTCACTCTACTTTTTCCTCTTTGGTCTTGACCTGATGGGCGGTTCCTTCAGTGCACTTGGCAGTAAGGGTGCCGGGAACCTGTTCACCTTTTCGGACAATCCCATTGCCGGCCTCATGGTTGGCATTTTGGCCACTGTCTTGGTGCAGTCCTCATCAACAAGCACGAGTATCGTCGTTGGTTTGGTTGGGGCTGATGTGTTGGCGGTCAAGCAGGCAATCCCAATTATCATGGGCGCGAACATTGGCACCTCTGTCACAAACACCATTGTCACTAGGCAGTGCTTCTTTTGGTTGGTTCATTGAGGGTTGATGGTATTGGAATGTATTGGATGTACTTGACTGATTTGTGTTGATTTGATGTGGCAATGGTTTGGTCAGATCACTTTTTGGACCACATGTGGATTGGTTTTCATATGTTTTCATTGGTCTGGATTGTTGTGCTTAGTTTGTTTGACGGGGTGCTCGGTCATTGGCTGCTTTTCGTCGTTGGCACATCTTCGCAATGCAACTGGGCCAGGTCAGCATGGCACATGCCGGAGACCGCATCGAACTGGAGCGCGCCTTTTCTGGTGCCACTGTCCATGACATGTTTAACATGCTGTCCGTCCTGACCTTGTTGCCCCTGGAAATCATCATCGCAGCCCTGTCCGGAGAGGGAGGCTTGCTCTTTTTCATTTCGAAGGGTTTGACGAACGCGATCATAGGCGGAGGTGGAGAATCCGACTTGCGATTCCCTTCCCCCACCAAAGAGATCGTCAGCCCCTTCACCAAGTTGTTCTTGAGCAAGGACAAGAACACCATCAAGGCATTGTCCTTCGGAGCCCCTGAGGCCCTGAGCTGTGGCACAGACTGCACTAAATACTGTGTGAGTTCGGACATGAGCAAAGCTTGGAAGAAGGTTGCGAAAGAGGCCTACGAGACCTTGATTGCCTGCAATGGCACCGTGTCGTGCGACTCAGGCAGTTGCTACACCAATGCGGGAGAATATTTTGAGAACAGCATTGAGACAGGAAGGACCATCAAAGGTGGTTTCTTGAAAGATGCTGGTGATGTTGCTGGTGGCATCATTGGACTCATCCTTTCTCTGGTCGTTCTTTGCGGAGCCTTGATTGTCATGGTGAAGCTTCTGCACAGCCTTGTCATGGGCCAGGCGAAGAAAGTGATCATGAAAGGCACCAAGATGAATGACTACTTGGCCATCCTGGTGGGTCTGGGAATCACTATCATTGTGCAATCCAGCTCTGTGACAACATCAGCTCTCACTCCGTTGGTTGGCATTGGAGTCTTGCCCGTTTACAAGATGCTCCCGATGACCCTGGGAGCAAACATTGGCACGACCTTCACTTCAATGTTTGCAGCACTTGCAGTGATGAAGGCAGGCAGTCTACAGATTGCCTTTTGCCACCTGCTGTTCAACCTGATCGGCATTTTGATCTGGTTCCCTGTGCCTGTCATGCGCAAGGTTGTCATCCGGGCTGCATGCACGCTGGGCTTCTATGCCTCATACTGGCGCCTGGTTCCACTGATCTACATCTTGGTGATGTTCGTTACAGTGCCTGGTGTGTGCTTGTTGATTTCCTTGCTCTACTCAGCCAGTGTTGCTGGCGGTGTAGTGGTCACCATCCTGGCCGTGGCTGCCGTGGCAGGCTTAGTCTACTGGTGGGTGAGACTGGGCGGCTGCTACAAGGTGGTGAGCCAAGAGGAACGTGACGCCCGAAAGGCTGAGATTGAGGAGGAGATGGGCGAGACGGGTGTGGCTGAGCCGAAGGAGGAACCTCAGGCAGAGTCGACTGTTTGAGTGCGAGATGAATCTCAGATGATCTGAGATCTCTTGGCTGACATGGACTTTTTTCTAGTTCCAGCACACCTTTAATCTTTAATATCCTTTAATTAATTCATGTGGTGGTGGGTTGCTAGCGTCCTTGTCGCGCTGAGCAGTAAACTGACGCTACCACTTCTTTGCATTTTCTCTTGATGGCGTTGTAAGCAGCAATCTGGGTGAACCCAGTTTTTTTTTGCAGAAGCCTAGGGTCCCAAAACCCGACCCCAAAGGGGGAGGATCAACCCTGTTCTGCTCTTGCGCTGCCCAGCAAAGAGCAAAAACTCTGTTGTGGGGTAAGCACTTTGGAGAAGTGCTAGCGCTTTGGAGAAGTGCCAGCGCTGATAGAATCTTGTCGCGGACTTGGACAATTGCCTCCTAGATGTGTCAAAAAGATGGACTGAGGACACATCAGAAGGATGCACCATGCTGGAACTATTGTGTAATAGCCGCTTTCGAGCAAGACTCTGAGACATGTCAACGTGCTTATCGCATCTGATCGCATCATTGTTTCGACCACTGCCAGCCAGTGGAATTTTCAGATGTAGGTGTGATCAGGTCACAAACCAGGTGAAATGTCAGGTAGCATTTCCCTGAGTTTCACCGTATGTAGCTGTTTGAGCTCAGAGGTTCGTGCCAGCAAGAGATTCCTCCAGATTTTTGATCAACATGGCTGAAGCGGCTGAAGCCAAGGAGCAGAGTGCTGGGGAGTTCGCGGTCTTCGTGACTTTGAAAATCCTTGGAGTCCTCATCTCACTCTACTTTTTCCTCTTTGGTCTTGACCTGATGGGCGGTTCCTTCAGTGCACTTGGCAGTAAGGGTGCCGGGAACCTGTTCACCTTTTCGGACAATCCCATTGCCGGCCTCATGGTTGGCATTTTGGCCACTGTCTTGGTGCAGTCCTCATCAACAAGCACGAGTATCGTCGTTGGTTTGGTTGGGGCTGATGTGTTGGCGGTCAAGCAGGCAATCCCAATCATCATGGGCGCGAACATTGGCACCTCTGTCACAAACACCATTGTCACTAGGCAGTGCTTCTTTTGGTTGGTTCATTGAGGGTTGATGGTATTGGAATGTATTGGATGTACTTGACTGATTTGTGTTGATTTGATGTGGCAATGGTTTGGTCAGATCACTTTTTTGACCACATGTGGATTGGTTTTCATATGCTTTCATTGGTTTGGATTGTTGTGCTTAGTTTGTTTGACGGGGTGCTCGGTCATTGGCTGCTTTTCGTCGTTGGCACATCTTCGCAATGCAACTGGGCCAGGTCAGCATGGCACATGCCGGAGACCGCATCGAACTGGAGCGCGCCTTTTCTGGTGCCACTGTCCATGACATGTTTAACATGCTGTCCGTCCTGACCTTGTTGCCCCTGGAAATCATCATCGCAGCCCTGTCCGGAGAGGGAGGCTTGCTCTTTTTCATTTCGAAGGGTTTGACGAACGCGATCATAGGCTGAGGTGGAGAATCCGACTTGCGATTCCCTTCCCCCACCAAAGAGATCGTCAGCCCCTTCACCAAGTTGTTCTTGAGCAAGGACAAGAACACCATCAAGGCATTGTCCTTCGGAGCCCCTGAGCCCCTGAGCTGTGGCACAGACTGCACTAAATACTGTGTGAGTTCGGACATGAGCAAGGCTTGGAAGAAGGTTGCGAAAGAGGCCTACGAGACCTTGATTGCCTGCAATGGCACCGTGTCGTGCGACTCAGGCAGTTGCTACACCAATGCGGGAGAATATTTTGAGAACAGCATTGAGACAGGAAGGACCATCAAAGGTGGTTTCTTGAAAGATGCTGGTGATGTTGCTGGTGGCATCATTGGACTCATCCTTTCTCTGGTCGTTCTTTGCGGAGCCTTGATTGTCATGGTGAAGCTTCTGCACAGCCTTGTCATGGGCCAGGCGAAGAAAGTGATCATGAAAGGCACCAAGATGAATGACTACTTGGCCATCCTGGTGGGTCTGGGAATCACTATCATTGTGCAATCCAGCTCTGTGACAACATCAGCTCTCACTCCGTTGGTTGGCATTGGAGTCTTGCCAGTTTACAAGATGCTCCCGATGACCCTGGGAGCAAACATTGGCACGACCTTCACTTCAATGTTTGCAGCACTTGCAGTGATGAAGGCAGGCAGTCTACAGATTGCCTTTTGCCACCTGCTGTTCAACCTGATCGGCATTTTGATCTGGTTCCCTGTGCCTGTCATGCGCAAGGTTGTCATCCGGGCTGCATGCACGCTGGGCTTCTATGCCTCATACTGGCGCCTGGTTCCACTGATCTACATCTTGGTGATGTTCGTTACAGTGCCTGGTGTGTGCTTGTTGATTTCCTTGCTCTACTCAGCCAGTGTTGCTGGCGGTGTAGTGGTCACCATCCTGGCCGTGGCTGCCGTGGCAGGCTTAGTCTACTGGTGGGTGAGACTGGGCGGCTGCTACAAGGTGGTGAGCCAAGAGGAACGTGACGCCCGAAAGGCTGAGATTGAGGAGGAGATGGGCGAGACGGGTGTGGCTGAGCCGAAGGAGGAACCTCAGGCAGAGTCGACTGTTTGAGTGCGAGATGAATCTCAGATGATCTGAGATCTCTTGGCTGACATGGACTTTTTTCTAGTTCCAGCACACCTTTAATCTTTAATATCCTTTAATTAATTCATGTGGTGGTGGGTTGCTAGCGTCCTTGTCGCGCTGAGCAGTAAACCAACGCTACCACTTCTTTGCATTTTCTCTTGATGGCGTTGTGCTGGCCATAAGCAGCAATCTGGGTGAACCCAGTTTTTTTTTGCAGAAGCCTAGGGTCCCAAAACCCGACCCCAAAGGGGGAGGATCAACCCTGTTCTGCTCTTGCGCTGCCCAGCAAAGAGCAAAAACTCTGTTGTGGGGTAAGCACTTTGGAGAAGTGCTAGCGCTTTGGAGAAGTGCCAGCGCTGATAGAATCTTGTCGCAGACTTGGACAATTGCCTCCTAGATGCGTTCAAAAGATGGACTGAGGACACATCAGAAGGATGCACCATGCTGGAACTATTGTGTAATAGCCGCTTTCGAGCAAGACTCTGAGACATGTCAACGTGCTTATCGCATCTGATCGCATCATTGTTTCGACCACTGCCAGCCAGTGGAATTTTCAGATGTAGGTGTGATCAGGTCACAAACCAGGTGAAATGTCAGGTAGCATTGCAATGAGTTTCACCGTATGTAGCTGTTTGAGCTCAGAGGTTCGTGCCAGCAAGAGATTCCTCCAGATTTTTGATCAACATGGCTGAAGCGGCTGAAGCCAAGGAGCAGAGTGCTGGGGAGTTCGCGGTCTTCGTGACTTTGAAAATCCTTGGAGTCCTCATCTCACTCTACTTTTTCCTCTTTGGTCTTGACCTGATGGGCGGTTCCTTCAGTGCACTTGGCAGTAAGGGTGCCGGGAACCTGTTCACCTTTTCGGACAATCCCATTGCCGGCCTCATGGTTGGCATTTTGGCCACTGTCTTGGTGCAGTCCTCATCAACAAGCACGAGTATCGTCGTTGGTTTGGTTGGGGCTGATGTGTTGGCGGTCAAGCAGGCAATCCCAATCATCATGGGCGCGAACATTGGCACCTCTGTCACAAACACCATTGTCACTAGGCAGTGCTTCTTTTGGTTGGTTCATTGAGGGTTGATGGTATTGGAATGTATTGGATGTACTTGACTGATTTGTGTTGATTTGATGTGGCAATGGTTTGGTCAGATCACTTTTTGGACCACATGTGGATTGGTTTTCATATGTTTTCATTGGTCTGGATTGTTGTGCTTAGTTTGTTTGACGGGGTGCTCGGTCATTGGCTGCTTTTCGTCGTTGGCACATCTTCGCAATGCAACTGGGCCAGGTCAGCATGGCACATGCCGGAGACCGCATCGAACTGGAGCGCGCCTTTTCTGGTGCCACTGTCCATGACATGTTTAACATGCTGTCCGTCCTGACCTTGTTGCCCCTGGAAATCATCATCGCAGCCCTGTCCGGAGAGGGAGGCTTGCTCTTTTTCATTTCGAAGGGTTTGACGAACGCGATCATAGGCGGAGGTGGAGAATCCGACTTGCGATTCCCTTCCCCCACCAAAGAGATCGTCAGCCCCTTCACCAAGTTGTTCTTGAGCAAGGACAAGAACACCATCAAGGCATTGTCCTTCGGAGCCCCTGAGGCCCTGAGCTGTGGCACAGACTGCACTAAATACTGTGTGAGTTCGGACATGAGCAAAGCTTGGAAGAAGGTTGCGAAAGAGGCCTACGAGACCTTGATTGCCTGCAATGGCACCGTGTCGTGCGACTCAGGCAGTTGCTACACCAATGCGGGAGAATATTTTGAGAACAGCATTGAGACAGGAAGGACCATCAAAGGTGGTTTCTTGAAAGATGCTGGTGATGTTGCTGGTGGCATCATTGGACTCATCCTTTCTCTGGTCGTTCTTTGCGGAGCCTTGATTGTCATGGTGAAGCTTCTGCACAGCCTTGTCATGGGCCAGGCGAAGAAAGTGATCATGAAAGGCACCAAGATGAATGACTACTTGGCCATCCTGGTGGGTCTGGGAATCACTATCATTGTGCAATCCAGCTCTGTGACAACATCAGCTCTCACTCCGTTGGTTGGCATTGGAGTCTTGCCCGTTTACAAGATGCTCCCGATGACCCTGGGAGCAAACATTGGCACGACCTTCACTTCAATGTTTGCAGCACTTGCAGTGATGAAGGCAGGCAGTCTACAGATTGCCTTTTGCCACCTGCTGTTCAACCTGATCGGCATTTTGATCTGGTTCCCTGTGCCTGTCATGCGCAAGGTTGTCATCCGGGCTGCATGCACGCTGGGCTTCTATGCCTCATACTGGCGCCTGGTTCCACTGATCTACATCTTGGTGATGTTCGTTACAGTGCCTGGTGTGTGCTTGTTGATTTCCTTGCTCTACTCAGCCAGTGTTGCTGGCGGTGTAGTGGTCACCATCCTGGCCGTGGCTGCCGTGGCAGGCTTAGTCTACTGGTGGGTGAGACTGGGCGGCTGCTACAAGGTGGTGAGCCAAGAGGAACGTGACGCCCGAAAGGCTGAGATTGAGGAGGAGATGGGCGAGACGGGTGTGGCTGAGCCGAAGGAGGAACCTCAGGCAGAGTCGACTGTTTGAGTGCGAGATGAATCTCAGATGATCTGAGATCTCTTGGCTGACATGGACTTTTTTCTAGTTCCAGCAAACCTTTAATCTTTAATATCCTTTAATTAATTCATGTGGTGGTGGGTTGCTAGCGTCCTTGTCGCGCTGAGCAGTAAACCAACGCTACCACTTCTTTGCATTTTCTATTGATGGCGTTGTGCTGGCCATAAGCAGCAATCTGGGTGAACCCAGTTTTTTTTTGCAGAAGCCTAGGGTCCCAAAACCCGACCCCAAAGGGGGAGGATCAACCCTGTTCTGCTCTTGCGCTGCCCAGCAAAGAGCAAAACCTCTGTTGTGGGGTAAGCACTTTGGAGAAGTGCTAGCGCTTTGGAGAAGTGCCAGCGCTGATAGAATCTTGTCGCAGACTTGGACAATTGCCTCCTAGATGCGTCAAAAAGCATGGACTGAGGACACATCAGAAGGATGCTTTCGAGCAAGACTCTGAGTCATGTCAACGTGCTTATCGCATCTGATTGCATGGTTGTTTCGACCACTGCCAGCCAGTGGAATTTTCAGATGTAGGTGTGATCAGGTCACAAACCAGGTGAAATGTCAGGTAGCGTTGCAATGAGTTTCACCGTACGTAGCTGTTTGAGCTCAGGGGTTCGTGCCAGCAAGAGATTCCTCCAGATTTTTGATCAACATGGCTGAAGCGGCTGAAGCCAAGGAGCAGAGTGCTGGGGAGTTCGCGGTCTTCGTGACTTTGAAAATCCTTGGAGTCCTCATCTCACTCTACTTTTTCCTCTTTGGTCTTGACCTGATGGGCGGTTCCTTCAGTGCACTTGGCAGTAAGGGTGCCGGGAACCTGTTCACCTTTTCCGACAATCCCATTGCCGGCCTCATGGTTGGCATTTTGGCCACTGTCTTGGTGCAGTCCTCATCAACAAGCACGAGTATCGTCGTTGGTTTGGTTGGGGCTGATGTGTTGGCGGTCAAGCAGGCAATCCCAATCATCATGGGCGCGAACATTGGCACCTCTGTCACAAACACCATTGTCACTAGGCAGTGCTTCTTTTGGTTGGTTCATTGAGGGCTGATGGTATTGGAATGTATTGGATGTACTTGACTGATTTGTGGCTTGATGTGGCAATGGTTTGGTCAGATCACTTTTTGGACCACATGTGGATTGGTTTTCATATGTTTTCATATGTTTTCATTGGTTTGGATTGGTTTGGATTGTTGTGCTTTAGTTTGTTGACGGGTTGCTCGGTCATTGGCTGCTTTTCGTCGTTCGCACATCTTCGCAGTGCAACTGGGCCAGGTCAGCATGGCACATGCCGGAGACCGCATCGAACTGGAGCGCGCCTTTTCTGGTGCCACCGTCCATGACATGTTTAACATGCTGTCCGTCCTGACCTTGTTGCCCCTGGAAATCATCATCGCAGCCCTGTCCGGAGAGGGAGGCTTGCTCTTTTTCATTTCGAAGGGTTTGACGAACGCGATCATAGGCGGAGGTGGAGAATCCGACTTGCGATTCCCTTCCCCCACCAAAGAGATCGTCAGCCCCTTCACCAAGTTGTTCTTGAGCAAGGACAAGAACACCATCAAGGCATTGTCCTTCGGAGCCCCTGAGGCCCTGAGCTGTGGCACAGACTGCACTAAATACTGTGTGAGTTCGGACATGAGCAAAGCTTGGAAGAAGGTTGCGAAAGAGGCCTACGAGACCTTGATTGCCTGCAATGGCACCGTGTCGTGCGACTCAGGCAGTTGCTACACCAATGCGGGAGAATATTTTGAGAACAGCATTGAGACAGGAAGGACCATCAAAGGTGGTTTCTTGAAAGATGCTGGTGATGTTGCTGGTGGCATCATTGGACTCATCCTTTCTCTGGTCGTTCTTTGCGGAGCCTTGATTGTCATGGTGAAGCTTCTGCACAGCCTTGTCATGGGCCAGGCGAAGAAAGTGATCATGAAAGGCACCAAGATGAATGACTACTTGGCCATCCTGGTGGGTCTGGGAATCACTATCATTGTGCAATCCAGCTCTGTGACAACATCAGCTCTCACTCCGTTGGTTGGCATTGGAGTCTTGCCAGTTTACAAGATGCTCCCGATGACCCTGGGAGCAAACATTGGCACGACCTTCACTTCAATGTTTGCAGCACTTGCAGTGATGAAGGCAGGCAGTCTACAGATTGCCTTTTGCCACCTGCTGTTCAACCTGATCGGCATTTTGATCTGGTTCCCTGTGCCTGTCATGCGCAAGGTTGTCATCCGGGCTGCATGCACGCTGGGCTTCTATGCCTCATACTGGCGCCTGGTTCCACTGATCTACATCTTGGTGATGTTCGTTACAGTGCCTGGTGTGTGCTTGTTGATTTCCTTGCTCTACTCAGCCAGTGTTGCTGGCGGTGTAGTGGTCACCATCCTGGCCGTGGCTGCCGTGGCAGGCTTAGTCTACTGGTGGGTGAGACTGGGCGGCTGCTACAAGGTGGTGAGCCAAGAGGAACGCGACGCCCGAAAGGCTGAGATTGAGGAGGAGATGGGCGAGACGGGTGTGGCTGAGCCGAAGGAGGAACCTCAGGCAGAGTCGACTGTTTGAGTGCGAGATGAATCTCAGATGATCTGAGATCTCTTGGCTGACATGGACTTTTTTCTCGTTCCAGCAAACCTTTAATTAATTCATGTGGTGGTGGGTTGCTAGCGTCCTTGTCGCGCTGAGCAGTAAACCGACGCTACCACTTCTTTGCATTTTCTCTTGATGGCGTTGTGCTGGCCATAAGCAGCAATCTGAGTGAACCCAGTTTTTTTTTTTGGCAGGAGCCTAGGGTCCCAAAACCCGACCCCAAAGGGGAGGATCAACCCTGTTCTGCTCTTGCGCTGCCCAGCAAAGAGCAAAAACTCTGTTGTGGGGTAAGCACTTTGGAGAAGTGCTAGCGCTTTGGAGAAGTGCCAGCGCTGATAGAATCTTGTCGCAGACTTGGACAATTGCCTCCTAGATGCGTCAAAAAGATGGACTGAGGACACATCAGAAGGATGCACCATGCTGGAACTATTGTGTAATTCCCGCTTTCGAGCAAGACTCTGAGTCATATCAACGTGCTTATCGCATCTGATTGCATGGTTGTTTCGACCACTGCCAGCCAGTGGAATTTTCAGATGTAGGTGTGATCAGGTCACAAACCAGGTGAAATGTCAGGTAGCGTTGCAATGACAATGAGTTTCACCGTACGTAGCTGTTTGAGCTCAGAGGTTTGTGCCAGCAAAAGGAGATGGGCGAGACGGGTGTTGCTGAGCCGAAGGAGGAACCTCAGGCAGAGTCGACTGTTTGAGTGCGAGATGAGTCTCAGATGATCTGAGATCTCTTGGCTGACATGGACTTTTTTCTAGTTCCAGCAAACCTTTATATAATCTTTAATATCCTTTAATTAATTCATGTGGTGGTGGGTTGCCAGCGTCCTTGTCGCGCTGAGCAGTAAACCAACGCTACCACTTCTTTGCATTTTCTCTTGATGGCGTTGTGCTGGCCATCAGCAGCCATCTGGGTGAACCCAGTTTTTCTTGTTGGCAGAAGCCTAGGGTCCCAACACCCGACCCCAAAGGGGGAGGATCAACCCTGTTCTGATTTTGCGCTGCTCAGCAGAGAAAACTCTGTTGTGGGGAAAGCGCTTTGGAGAAGTGCTAGCGCTTTGGAGAAGTGCCAGCGCTGATAGAATCTTGTCGCGGACTTGGACGATTGGCACGCAAAAAAAGATGGGCAAGAATGATGCTCCACTCAGCCAGCTGCAGCCAGCTGCAGCCAGCAGCCAGCTGTTCAATTTTGTGTCTTAGAGACTTAGCTGAGCTGTGACCCATGCGACCTGCAGGTGGATCATGTCACCAGTATTTTCACGGATCCGCGACTGCCAACCGATGATTGTGGTGTCCTCGGGATGGGATTGGCCAATTTCACATCTCAACACTTTTGTGCCCCAGCCAACAAAGACATTGGCTAAAACATGCTATGACCATCCTGAACGGACACATGAATCAGTACCATGTGTCAGCAAATTCTTAACCCTGTGACCAGGCAGTACCTACAACCTACGACATCAGTTTCAAGGGCACTTGGTTATGGCCTCAAGACAGAGATGCTGTGATGAAACGTCGGCAAACATGCCAGGGATGACAGCCTGCGTAAACCTTGCTTGGTTAGATCAATGTCTAGACTTTTTGGATCTTTTTGGTATGAATGGTGGGAAGAAAAGAACCTTGCGAGTCATACGTTTTGAGACTCGTTGCTGCAATAATTATCTCAATTGGTATCACTCCACCAATCCTTGCTTTGGAAACCGAGAGATGCGAGAAAGAAGTGCACCCCGCAGAGTTGTTTTATCGAGGCCGATCGGGTCGACAAAAAGCATTTCCTGCAGAAGAATTTCTACTCTGCAACTTGGGGCAAGAGGGAGATGATGTCGCGAAGTGATGGTTGATTTCACACATGGTTGCCTTGGGTGATACTTCTGTGTTCCTTCTTGAAGTGCATCTGAGATGCAGAACCAAATGTGCATTTCATTAGTGGGCACAAGATTGATCGGTGAGACGATATCACATGGCACATCTATGATTAGCAGTTTTTGTGGCTCCAATATCTGGAGCAACATTCCACCTTGGACATGGAGACTCACGCAACTGAGGAGTATGTCGAAGCACTAGCCAAGCAGCAAGGACTGATGATACTTGGCTTCATGTGTTACCCATGACAGCTCTTGTGCTGCCTATGTTGCCAGTGGAGACATGCTTTGGGATTGCCAACACGCTGCACCAGTGCAGCACCATATGCCTGAGCCAAGGATGGAGAAAAACAAGGGCGCCTAGTCAGGCCTGAAGTTGTTGGTGGGATCTAAAATAATCAACATCTGAAGCTTCCATGAACTTCCGTGCTCCATCTATTACTTTATCTATTACTTCATCTATTCGTCAATATCCGTCACGGGCCAAAAGATTGGTGCTCTCGCAACTCTGCAATTCACATGGCCTGCGGCCAGAGGTATTGCCTAATCTACTCTGAAACAATTGAAACTCAATATTTTTCCAGCACAAGGCTACGGCTCCCTGGTCTCACCCTAGTTTCGTCAGCGCTTGCTGACGGACAAGATGGCAGTGATGAAATCTCCAGCCATTCCTGCGATGCTGAGCACGAAGAAAATGGCGGATGGCTGGGAGCAGATGTGCTGCAGATTTTGTTGTTTCAGAGCTGAAGAAGCTTTTGGCCGTGGCTTGACAAATGGAAGTGCAGCACTTGAGGAAAGTGACGGAGCCCAGATATGTTAAAAGTTTACAAAGCGTTTCAAGCAGAACCCTAAAAGCCTGACCCAGCAGGCGAGGAATTCAAATTTCTGTCAGAGAGGCGGATGACTTTTTAAGGGAATTCTTTTTCTCCATTATATATAGGGTGAAGGATGCTTATAGTTTGGTGTTGACTCAATTGTACTTGTAACGGGATCATTGGATCATTGTGGATTTG